AATTTCCAGACGCCATCAGAGCGGTTTCGAATTTTGAGAAATACTCGTACTGCGGCTGCATGCCAATGATGAAATACCATTCGAAAATTGCCCTTTTGTTAGAAGCTAATGGTAGACTTACCATGTTGCGTTTTCGTCTAACCACTTTATACATACATGCTCCTACAGCGCTGGTATAGCTCGTACAGTGCATATGACCACATATTCGAATATTGCACCTATTATGCATACCAATCGAACCGTTGATTTTTCCTCTGTTAATCCGCAGGGCCTCTTGTCTCAGATTCACGGCGTGGTCAGCAATTTCTTCGGCAGCCAAATTCGATGTCATTATGAAAATAGCATTTTTACATTCGATTGTTTTGCCTTGTCCATCAGTCAGTCGACCCTATAAATGTTAGAGTACAGTGAAAACTGATGTAAGGAGCTCCTCATTCAGCTCATAAGCTAAATGTGGAAAAATTTCTAAAGCTAATTTTTTACACAAAAAAACAGGAAAACTTGTAATCGTTGGAATGTCGACTTTTCTTACTTACATTCTCATGATTGAACTATTTTTGGTGTCTATTTTCCCATGAAGTTGACAGTGGGGTGCTGATCTCCTTTTCTATGCGATCAGCCAGATGTGATTTGTTGCAATGCAGAGTCGATTATGCTAAGCACAGTGTATAGTCTGTTTCCTGCCTGTAGGTGGGGGGGAGTCATTTGTTAATATCGTAAGGAAGGCGAGCAACCCGACGGAATCTTGAACGTGGAGACCCATCCATTCTGAGTCGGACGCTGTACCGAATGAGCAAACTCGATCTATACACACGGGGACGGTGTAATAACGCCATGTAAGTCGGTGCCATACCATGATGGTGCTATGCATGTTAAACAGAAACTACTTTCATAGTCATTTTACTAATAGTCGAAAATATCAAGATAAAATTACCTTAAAAAAGCGAATTTACGAAAATGAAAATATCTCCGGAAAATTTTTCTATCATTCGCTAAATAACATAGCATAATCTGTTATAGCATCAAACAACGTCTACTGTCAAAATGCTGTAAAGTTCAATGTTTAAACTAAAGCAGCGTTAGTCTCCTTTAGGACAAGTGTACCAAATGAAGTACAATAACGAAACGTAACTGGCAATGAAAAGCAGGTTACACATATTCACTTTAGGAAATCAGCTGGTAAACAAGAAAATTTATAGCTGGGTTTTGCACTGCAACATGACAGAGCAAATATCTTGACAAACACAGTTTTAATATTTTATGGATTGCCACACCATCAACAGTATGTAAAATTTGAACGTTACAGCTGTCTATTCAGTATAACTTATGGCAGTAACTTAGTATAACTTACAACATTAAATTCAACTAGTACAGAAGAGGTCTTAACACTTTTATGTTGACACGACTATTGTGTTTTAAAATCTCAAAATAAAAAACATCTTGCAGCGCTGACCTAAACTTTAATTCTGTAGTGGTGAGCAACTAATTATGAGGCTACAGAGGACAAAGAGCAAAAAAATCTCAGACTCTCTTTTGAAAACGTAACAGACTTCAAAAATAAAGAAACCGCAACGAAGTTAAAGCCATTTGTTCAACCGAAGTTCGCTATAATAAATGACAACTTTTTTCCTAGCTGACTCTAATCTTAAAATACCTATTGTAATTATACGTAACTTGATTTGCACCATTTGCAGAACGTTACTGCACTTCTGTCTGCACAAAGGATAAGGAACAGCCATACTGATGTAGTCAAAATATCGTATTTTGTTGTCAGTCAGTCGGTCGGTCGGTCGGTCGGTCGGTCGGTCGGTCGGTCGGTCGGTCGGTCGGTCGGTCGGT